GCCTTAATAACAGTAATGGTAATAATGAAAAATTATTATTATTGTAATTGTTACTATTATTATTGTTATTATTACTATTCTCTTGCCTAAGGATTTACGGGATGTATAGCTAATTAACCGTTTCTATAAGGTAACAATAAACGGAGCGATGGAAATCGCTCTCATCAAGCGCTAAATCCACATATACATTTTTTGAAATCGTTTGTTTTTCAGGAAGTTCGTAGTTCTTTCTATCTCACAATGGCATATTGCTTGGAAATAACTGATGACACGCTACTGGGTATGAAGCTGAACACCCTTCTTATTAACAGAGGTACTGCGGCGTTACGACGCATATTTGATCGCTATGTACCTCCCCCTCAGCTCCTGAAGTTCTTGAACCGGAAGAAACTTGACATACGTAAACTGAATCGAGAGGGGAAGATAAACAAGTCCCAGTGGGACAAACTTTACCCGGCGCCGGCGGTTGGTACCCCTGCTTCTAAACACTTCGACATTTCTCTTCTTTACGTTTTGCTTCGTAACGTTTGTGGAATGCCAGCTCCTGCTACTGGCTGGGCCGCAAAACCTCCTTCAACGGATAACACGGCCCAGGCTGCAGTGAAAATGATACATTGGTATCGAAACCATTACAGTCACGCAACGATTGTCGAGATCGACGAAGCTTCATTTCAATCATCTTGGAAGGAGATTGCTGACGCAGTTCAACGTCTCGGTGAAGACGCTTCGCGAGTAGAGAATCTTAGAGCCGCGCCACTGTCTGCTAACATTTGCATAGAAAGACTTGCTAAGTTTGATTTCTCCGGGGAAGTCCATTTTTACGCATCCAAGCATCATCCAGGAACTCGTAAATGGGTTTTCAGTCATGTCGAGAGTTGGTTTCAAAATCGCATGTCTGATTCACGTGTTTTTATCATAACTGGAAATGCTGGTATGGGCAAATCTGTTATTGCAGCACAGTTATGCCATAACATGAAAGAGCGCTCGGTGCTTGGTGGAATGCACTTCTGTCAGCACAATAACCAGAGGAGAAGGAAACCAGAGCTAATGGTGCAGTCACTGGCCAGACATTTGTGTGACAATCTTCCAGGTTTTAAGGAAGTCCTGACGGGTCAGTTGGCTTGCTTAAACACAACTGATCTGACGACCATGAATGTGGAGGAACTGTTTACGCACGTTCTTCAAGAGACTACGAACATGATGGCAGATCCAGGGATGAACATCCTCTTGGTGGTGGACGCTGTAGATGAATGTGAACATCAGGGAAGAAACGAACTCTTTGATATGATAAGAACACAGTTCCACAAGCTACCATCCTGGATAAAGTTTGTTATCACCGGTCGCACTGAGCAAGCAATGATTGACAAACTAGCTCACTTCAACCCGTTTGTCCTCCACCCCTCGGACGAGAAGAACGAGAAAGACATCGAGCTATTTTTTGAAGAAAGCTTAAGGCGGCTGTTGCCCAATACCAGCATCGAGCAAAATGTTAGTCGCTTTGTAAGTCAAGCAGAAGGACTTATGTTGTATGCACACTTTGTCATTAAGCATGTCGAAGACCATAAAAGCACCCTCACACCTTCAAATCTCTCAGATGTTTTCCCTCGTGGGATCACATCTGTCTATGAGCAATATATTGATCGCCTGCAAAAGGATCTTGGAGTTGGCAAAGAGCGTTTCTTCGATTTTCTTTCGTCACTTGCTGCTGCACGTTCTCCTTTACCTGCGACCATGGCGTCGAGAATTCTCGGCCTGTGCTATGACATTGAGGATGGTTGGAGCCAATTCCAAAAGATGTCAGCATCAATCTCACGTTTGCTGCCCATTCATGACGGTTGCATCGATGTTTTCCATAAATCAATTGTTGACTGGCTCTGTCACCCTGAATTGTACGGTCAACATAAATTTACGGTAAAAATCACACGAGGAAATGTCGTGTTATTGAAAGAATGCGAAAGGACCTACAATTCCATCAAGCAACGTCAAGATGTCCCTGTGGAGTACTCTCAAGAAGAAAGATACGCCCTTCAGCATGGAACGTACCATTTCACAGCCTTACCAAAACTAGATGAAAGCCAGAAAAACAGACTTTTTCGTCATGCATGTAGCCTGGAGCTGCTATTTGCTCAATTGCAGAGCAAAGCTTGCGACGTTTTCTCATTAATTGAGGAACTTCAAAGCATCAAACCAGTCTTGAAGCTTTCAGGTGATGACTCGAAAGAAGTCGATGATTGTATAACTTGCCTCAGGCGTCATCCCTACTTGTTGATGGAGAACCCAAACATGATTTTTCAGTTATTAGTGAACGAAGCCGAATCTACAGCAATAAGTCTCGAAGCTTGTTCTGTGATGTATCAAACAAAGTACCAACTTCCCCTCCGCCTAGAGGTAGTTAACAGATCCCAGACAACAGACCCTGTGATCACTAAGTTCCGCTGCAAAACCAGCGTAAATTGTTGTGATATTTTAAACCAGGCTGAGCACACTCTGTTGGTCTGTGGATGTGCAGAAGGTTTCGTCCACATGTTTTCAGTGGAAACAGGAAGAGAACTATGGAGGAACAGATCTGACGTAGTGATCGACATCTGGCCAACCGAGGAAGAGCGTTGTAACTACTGTTTTTTTGTCCCACAACATGGTGTGGTTGTCCACGGTCGATTCGATAAAGCTGTAACATTTGACGGTGGATCAAAGGAGCTATTTCCAGAAAACGAGCACACCTTTATCGATGCTTGTATCTCACAAGACAGAAAAACGATGGTGACTAGGGAAACTCATGTGACAAACAACCTTATGATTTGGGAACTTGACAAAGGAGAGCTGGTAATCAAATTGGAACCGCCCACTGGGGGCGTCACATGTTGTGCGATTTCATCATGTGAGCAATATGTCATCTCAGGCAGTTTTGATAGAGGTGTTTCCCTTTGGAACATGAATGTGCGCGACCACACTTATCAGCAGAATGCATTTAGTAACGAAGAACCTTTAACAGTGGATTGTCTCTCTGGATCAGAAGGAAATTCACAGTTTGTGCTTCTGAATTCCTCCAAGAAACAACTCTTGACATTCTGTGAATTGCTTACGAATGAATTTGAGTGTTCTGAACTAAGAGAGCTAAACCTAGGATCGACTCATAAAAGTCTTGGTGTATCAAACCGTGGAGACTGTTTGTACGTATGTGGTGAATCTCGCCAGCTACATTGCCCGGGTTTGCCATTCGCAATACGTATTGCTCCAATTTCGAAGCGAACCAGGTGGACATATGCCAAAGAGATTGACACGGAAAGAGTGCTTCTGAAGGACTTAAACACGGTCTATATGTGTCGAACTCTCGAAAACAAAAGTTCTGCAGAAATGGCAGATTGTGGAGTGAGAGCTGTTTCCTTTTCGGCTAACGGTCAGCATTTATACGTTTTGTGCAAAGTGGGAATGAGTGTATATGAAGCTTCCAGCGGGAGATGGCTTCGTGGTAACCGGTCCATCCACGCAAAGTCTTTTGCACTGTCACCGAATGACAAATCGATTTTGTTTCAAAGAGAAGCTTGTTTTGAATTGTGGAATTCCGACCTGCAACAAAGAGTTAAATCTCTAAAACATCCGATCACTCCCCAAACGTTCTTCAGTTACCTCGACAATGATCTGGTTTTGTTTGTTTCCCGATCGGGATATATCCAGATTTGGAATCTCGATGAATCGACGTTTAGGGACATCAATGGCCCCAAGCAGTCTATGATCGAGTGCTGCGACATCTTTGTTTTCGAGCAAAAAGACGGCGTCTCTCATTATCGTCTCCTATGCTGTAATCGTCAAAGAGGTCTAATGTTGTACGATACAGTGAAAGTGCATCACATTCAGCGAAGCGTTCCTGAAGAAGAAATTGTCAAATGCTGTAAGTTTTCGTTTGATGGACGCTGTATTGCCACAGGACACATTGACGGATCATTACAACTTTGGGATGGTCAGCATCTTGATCTGAAGAAACGCCTGGGTTGCGGTGATAATCTACTCAAAGGGTGTGGCTATCTAGAGCAAGACTTTGGCGATGCAGTTGCAACGGTCAGTGAATCGGGAACGTTAAGGATCTGGAATGCTTTCTCACGCGCTCAACTCGGATCTATGAAATTTGAAAGCAACATCCATGGACTTGTAGCTTCACCGGTAAAGGCTCAAGTTTGTATTGCTCTTGAAGACAAATTTGTCATCGTGAACGTCCACACTCGAGTTTGATTGAAACATAATCAAACGAAAATCATGAATAGGGTAGTCACACTAGCGGAAAACTTCCCGATGTAACTAGGCAAAGTTTGCACCACACCCAGTGGAATTACTTTTTCAGAGTTAGTTCAAATCGTTGACCCTGCTGCATGGACCACCAAACTAGAGAAGTGGTAGACTACCCTAAACAGAATACCCATAGAACAGACTCAAAAGTTAAATTAGTCGCTGTCGAGATTATTTTATTTTTAAAAAGAGGAGAATACGTTTCCACACTGCATAATGTTGCCTTAAACATTAGTTGACAAATTGAAAGAGGAAATAGAGGGATTAGGAGATGTGGAGGCCGCGTCTTTTGCTCAAGCTGAAGAAAATCCCTCGAGGCGCGATTTTCGCGTTTTTTTTAAACCAACGGCTTATGGTGAAACGACGGCGCTGTAACACTTTCCTCTTTTTTCCCTTCTCCATCCTCCATTATTAAAAGCACCAGCCATCGTCACTATTTGTCAAATTGTGCACAAAATATAGACTAATTTAGTTTTGTTTTCATCAATGACTAACTGAACTTTTGGACCGCTGCCACGTGCAGTATCGGATCGAACATAAGCCAGCTCCAATTTCAGAAAGGGAAAATTTATGTGCTTCGTTGTAAGGGAAATCATGCGCGCATATTTATGATCTTTGGCGAAAAGTGAATAAGGCACTTAAAAAAGACCGATTAGGAGTCAAAACGAATTTTATTTACAATTGCCACCTTGTTGCGGACATTATATTTACATTGCACAATACCGGTTCAATTTAGATCCAAATGCTAGTCAAGAGTTAGAAGTAAACCATGATTTCTTTCAAAATAAATAACTTTGTCTTTCATCACAACTTTGTAGGAAACTTCACGTACGAACGATTTCACCGTGACTGAAGTATCACGCACACCAGGTCGGTGTGGGTTCTATGTCTTTAAGCGCCAGAAAAACTGACAGTTTGTGATCAAAGTCGATGGGTAGTTCATCTGGTTCTCGGTAACGAGCGGTCATCTCTTTGCCGAGGTACCCAATCAGTTCACACTCTTCCTCGAACCTCATCAATTTCTGTTTGTATTTTTTGCGCACATACTCACTGCTCTTAGGGTTGTAGGCTGAAATGAGAAAAAAAAAGGTTTAAGTTCAACTTCTCTCTAAACTGCTGGATCCCAATAGAAATGTCTCCCAGCTTTAACTGGATTTGTACTTCTGCATTTCTTTCTTCCTTAAAACGCGATACGACAGGTGTGAAATTCATTGAGATCACAAGAATAAAAATGGAGAAAGAGTATTGCAGATTTCACATGTTTAGGAAGTGGAAATTGTTGAACATTTTCTGCGGACGCAAACAATCACTAAATAACGCGGGCAGCAGTATAACTTTTGTGGAAGTGAAGAGAGAGATAAAAGGACGCTTAAGTACAGACGGTCACGTGTGGAGACCAGAAGGAGAATGAAACTACTTCTGATACTCTTTGATAGCAAGCAGTCAATTGAAAAGCGCTTGTTTTAGTATCTCACACTAAACAATACACACATAGGAAATCTTAAATTCCGGTCGCCATTTACATCACGTTTGTGCTTAAACTCCCAATTGTTTAACTAGCCTACGAGGCTACTTTATTTGCCATGAATTCCGCCAGTTTTTATGTTTTTACGTTCACGTTACTCGTTTCTGACCTTTAAGGTGGTAGCCAATATAAAGTAAGGCAGATTTCTTAGCATCAATGAATGGATACTTCGGTTTGAAACAACCCACGGCAGTTAGCGCTTTGGTTAAAGCAGTGGCTACACTCTGCTCCATGTAACCTAACATAGGGAGTCCACTGACAAGTAAAGGTTCTTTTGGCGGCGGTAACTTGTGTGGTAGTGTCAATCCGTGGTACTTTTCTGGTAGCCTGTCGATAGAAACGAGAACTGTTTGATTATTCTTGATTTAAGTGCTGTTAGCAATTATTTTTTGCCTTACCGACCCGTTGCAATAGAAAAAGGAAATTCATGTTAAAAATTTGAAACTTCTATCTTTAGCCTTTCTCAATCTTGTCTGCGTGGTCAAATTATAATTACCTCATAAATTTTTGAAGTTTTTCTTCCGATTCAAAGCAAAATAGTTTTTCTCTATATTCAACCACTAAGTTTGTCTCTCCAGGAACAATGTGTTCATATCTGCGGATAAACAAAATTACGAATAATGTCAATAAGTCAAGGATTTTAAAAACAAAATGGATTTGTAGCTGTAAAAATTAAAACGGTAAATGAATAGATAAATAAATAAAATGCGAAAAAATCAAGTCCTCCCATCTTTTTGCTCTTCCTTTAGTTACGTTTTACTTTTCACTTAATCATTCCTCTCCTTTCAGTATTTCGGACACACGTTTCTTAAATATTTCTTTCAAGAGATCGTTTCGCTTAAAAATTGCCGAGAGATATACCATGTAATGTAGGTCGTAACATGAATGCAGATTCTTCGTTGGACAGAAACTACACATGCTAAAACTCACTAACCTCAGTTTGCCATCCAGATACGTCACAGGACAGTAACCTTTTAGTTCAATCTGTTTAGGGAACATAGCTTTAACTTCCGCTTCCGTCCTTCTTTTCGGAAGGAGGTCGGGAGCAGGGAGTTTTCTAGGGGCCTGAGGAGGAACGTAACGAGCTGGATCCGCGAGAAATAGTTCTAGTTCCACTCTGGACGCCATTTTGTAATAACGTCCTCGAAACTCGGCGGCAAATTCAAGCGAAGAGTTTACAGAACAGTCGACCAACTCTCCACGGTCAGCTAAGCTGACTGGGCAGTACTGGCCAAAGTCGCCCAAGCGGACAAGACACTCACTCGGTGTGATACACATATCCGCTATTGACGCCGCTTTGCCTAAAAGTACGAGAGAAGGTTAAGGTTAGTCAACTAACGATGGGGCTTGGTGCCGAGTCTTCAACAAAGGTCAACAAATAACCTGTCTCCTCATAACTCCATTAACTTCCAAACCCCTCTCAACTTATTCTAGCGTTGTGGTGTTGCATTAGGCGATCAGTAACATTTTCAGTAACTTATCAACTAGCCGCAAACAATGCATCTGTTTTTTGTTGGTATTCAAAGTTGTATTTTTCGCTGAGTAGTCGTTCACCATTTTGCTTGTTATCTAGAAACCGAATTTTTAAAAACAATTTAGTAAGTGAGTTCCCAAATCACGATTGCGATAAAAAGCTTATTACCCACTCTAACATATTTCTCTGCGGTAGTTATCAAATGAATCGCCTCTGACTTTACCTTCAGATAATCTCTGTAGGTAAGTTTGAATCTGACGGACGCTTTTTCTGGCTTCATCAAGAGCCTGGTTCCAAATCCACCACTTCGACCGCTGACCGTCCATAGGCACCCAATTTCTGTGCTCTTTTTGGTACCAGTCTCTGACCTCCACAACCTCTCGCTGCCAGGCGTTGAGCCTGATGCCGAGTATCTGTTGACTATCGTGCAAAGGAAGGACCCTGGAACAGATAAGACGAGAAACAGTCATCAAAATATAAATTCTCTTGAAAACACTACAAAAAACAAAGCTGTGCCTATGAAAACTTGAACAAATTGTCAGATACAAAATACAACATTGTGCCTAAGAGGCCTCTTTGAGGGTCTGCAGTCGTCTATTTAACCGAAAGTGGAGTATTGATTTCGTTTTTAAAACCTTGTTGGAGCATGACGGTCAGCGGTTCCTCGTCTCAACACTTCGTCATCATCTACTTGTAGTTCCAGAACTCTAACAGGAATAATCTTCCGCTCGGTCAATAGCTCCACTTGTTTCTTGGTGACAGGATATCCGTCAAGTATAAACCTATCATGAAAAAAATATATAATAATGTAAAATGAAAAGTTAAAGAAAACCGCTACTTTTGTTTCGGAACCTATGTCTAGCTCTCTTTAAGCCGCTCCTCATTATCTTAGATCGGACTTGTTGTAATCATTTTTTAGAGTTATTCAAAGTAATTTTTCTCAAAAACGAGTTTCTAGGAAATGTCTTCTTTCACAAACCCACAAACTTACCCTCGCGTCTGACACTGCATGTCCAACAGGGCGACCTCCAAAGCTTGTACCGCCAATTCATCTGGCACGGGGTTCCCAGCCTTTAGGTGAAGGTTGATTTGTCGAGCCAGTTCCGTGTATGATTGGAAATTCAGAACTTTTCTGATTGCTTCTCCTATAGATAGTCTCACTACGCCATACTCCGCCACAAAACGCTTTGCCACTGCATTGAAAGAGAAACATTAGAATCAAATCATGCGTTTTGTTTATAGAGTTTGAAGAACTTTGAAGTTTACGACAAACAACGAGCCAATTTTCTCGACTTTCCCTTCTTTCTCTCGTACCCATGACTCAATCAAACATATAGAGGAAACAAAAATCTGTTTTGCTTAAATCTCACAACGAGAAAATCTTGGTGAAATTCATGTTTAGGTGGGGTGGAGTAGGAAGAGAAATTTAAGGAGTAGACAAGGGAGCAAAACATCTATAACCTTACACGTTATTATCAAAATGTACTCAAACTTACATCCAGTCTTGCCAGACTTTGGAGGTCCAATGATCGCCATCTTAATAGGAACGACAGGTTTAGGAGAAGGTTGTTTCAAGAAACGTGATGGACACTGCATGAACGTCTCCCGCTCGTCTCGTCCCGAGCAAAAGTAAATATGTTGTCGGTAGACAACAGGGAAGGAATTAACACCAAAGCCGTGTTGAGGGGGAAGAACTTCACCTTCCAGCAACTGAAAAGAAAAGTCCACTTTATTCTACGGTCAACACTTTTTTTCTGTGCTCAACAACCAACAACGGGCTATTTTACATGGCATAAATTAATCAAGGACTTTCCATTGTAGCCACGGAAATCAGTATGGTACAAGTAAATAAAGTGGCTGTGATGAAAGAATAAAGATGAGAAATGATATGAAAAATAATGATTACCTCTTCCTCATTTTGCCACAGACATCAGCTTATAAAACTAACTGACTTCTCCAAACTTTTCTCGCGAAAACAAAATTTTTCCCTGACCTTATGCAGATGGCACAGCCAGCCTCTCTCTACGGCTGTCCTAACTATGCAGTACCTGACTTTTCCCTGACTATTTCTTAACCTGGAACTAACAAGATTTGACGAATCGTAGTATTACCTTCACAGGACACCACCTTCCAAAGCGACTCGGAAACTTGTAACCCATAGCAAGCATTCTGTTGGCCAAGTAACCATCAATAGCGAAGCACCGATCAAATAGACTCTCCCGGAAATCAACCACAGGCTTCAGAACTTTCTTGATACAATACTCTACAATGCGCGGCTTCCGTCCGCCATTAATTTCAACCCGAGGAATTGAAATCTCTTCTAGTGTTTCCTAAATATTAAATATTAAGATAAAAATTTTGCATCAATTTTGAAACCAAATTCATTCGAAGGCTTTCTTTATAACAATAGAAGTCCTCGCATGGTTCGTTTTTTCCTATTTTCTTTGGCAGTTTTGTTCCCTATTCAGAGCTTAAAAGTCGATCTACAAGTAGGTAAACAGTACACAAAACGTCGTGCAACTTGCTTCGTGTACATGCATGTAAATAAAAAGGCTTAGATTTATCTCAGGCTAGTATACTATAAAAAATAGAGACAAAACAAAAAATGCGGTCATTTTTGAGAAAACAATTCTACGATTTGGTTATTAGACATTACAAACAAAAAAAAACCACATTCTTCAAAGTGATAGCTTTCTCTCTGACAACACAAAACACACTGGGAACTGATCAACTCATCCGTACTGACCTGCACAGTAGCAACTCGTCCCGTCTCCTCGTCATACCGATCTCCAATCTCAGTTTTCAGTCGTTCGATAGCATCCTCTTCACTCTCCTCTTCTTCTTCCTCCATTTCTTCTTCATCTTCCTCCTCAGCATCCAATAGCGCCTCAATATCTTCGTCCTCTTCATCTTCGTCTCCATCATCCTCGCTGTCATCGCTGTCCCTCTGCGCCCTGCGGGCCTGGAAGCGAGTGTAAACCAAAAGTTACGCAGGTGGGACTGAACACAGGTGATCGGAAATGGTCGTACACAATTGTAAATTAGTTCAAATAAAAATGAACCACTAAGAATAAAACAAGGTGAACAAGAACATTACCATTTTCTCGGCTTTTTTGGCCTCTATTTCCGCTATCTTTTCTTCCCGTCGCCGCGCTCTATCTTCGTCCTTTGGAGAGAATGAAAAAGAAAGGCAATGTTTAGAGAAAATTGTCGAAATAGTGATAGCTGATTTACTTTACACCTTCGTTGTCTCCTTGGACTAAACGAAAAAACATTTCAGACGACGATGGTGAGAGCCGATCACTGCACCATCAAAGACACCAACTTGAGACATCTTCTAAGCTTTCTTGGCAGAGATACAAGAAAACTGTCTGAGACATCATTTATTTTACCTTCTGTTTCTTAGCCAATGCTCGCTGTCGCTCCTTCTCCGCCTCTCGCTTGTCTCGTTTCAGGCGCCATTTGTCAAGAAGTGGTGGCAGGAGGCGGTCAACAATTTCTGTGTCTTCCACCACAAGGATCACTGCAATGTCTGGAAACAGGCCCACGGAGGAAAGGTAACGAGCCTCAGCTTCAGTACGGGGGAAACCCTCCAAGATAAACCCAGTAGATCTTGAGGGAAACAAGAAAAACAAAAGAAAAAATAAACCAAAAGAATCGTCGATCGCTTCACTAGGTTTAATTTATTCGAAAATTCCAGTAAAAGCGTGGTAAGCTTAGATCAATAGAGTTCTCTTGACTAAAGCGCGTAGATGTCTACGAGGTTAACAGAATAAGCAATAATTCAACTTGTTAATGACGTGTAGTATAGCACCCATCTCACCTGAAGGGCTCCTCGTTCCACCATGCTGGGAGAATCTTGTCCAGAGTTTCGTTTGGTAAGGCTTCACCATCAGCTAAATTGGCGCGGATGCTTTCCTCTTCGTCTGTTAGTTCCAGTTCTTGTTCTCCTTCGCCCCCAATCCCTTCCTCGCCATCAGCTTCTCCCTCTCCAGCCTTAATAGCATTTTCTGTATCTGGATAAAACACAATTTTTCTTACTGAAATGCATATCTGGAAGTCTACTTCAAAGTGATGAGAAACTTTTAATAATTCTTCATTTTTGAACAAGAATTGAATGAAGCAAAATCTAGAATTGCACTCAAAAATACTGACCAGTCCCCTCCAGTCCTTCAGGTGCTGTGATGGCTTGTTCACCGGTTCCTTCTTCGTCATCATCATACTCAGGCCCAATCTTCTTTTTCGTCTTTGCGATAATAAGTTCCTGGAGACGATCCTTGAATGAGATGTGGAATACGCCCATTTGTTTGGCAAGTTGACGGCCATGAAGGGTTTTACCTGCTCCTTTGGGACCAACGATCAAAAGACGAATCGGGGGAGGCTATCGATTGAATAAATAACAGTTCAATGAGAAACAGCATGTGTGCTTTTGCGTTCGTTGTAATCGCCACAAACCAAATGCAAATCAGAAGCCATTTGTAGTTTGTAAAATTTCTCACCTCAAGAGGTCTATTGCTCGGCAAAAAACTCTCTGGATCATCCAAGAAGACACCCCTAGATTCAGGAGAGGAGAAAAAGTATGTTCTCTCGCGGTATTTGGCAGCACATTCAGCGATACCCGGCCACAAAACGAACTTTTCCTTCAACATTACAGGACAGTAATGGTTTGTGTCCCCAAAGATCTTTTTCTTGTCCTTGTTATAAATGTCCTCTTCTTCCTCTTCCTCCTCTTCTTCTTCCTCCGCGAAGTCTTCTTCTTCTTCGTCTTGATCCATTCCTGTGTACTCCCAGCCGCGGTAATTGAACGGGGCTGAAACAGAAATGCGATTGACTTTAACTGAAACGAGACTTAACAAATCAACAGTGGTTAAGCATGATCTGTACTCTTATCGACAACGATATTTTTCATTACAGTGGTCACACAGATGTACTTTCTTACCTTCAACTCTTTTGACGACCTCCTTGCTTAGTTTGTCCAGTTCTTTGTCAACAGCTACCATTATAGGTTCTATATTATTCGTGCCTTTCAATACAGACAACAGCTGAGTAAAGTCTCGATCATAGTTCGTTCTAAGATTCTTGAACTCCTCTGTCTCGGGAGTATTGGGTGGCATGTCTGAATCCAGGATTAACTCCTCTTCTTCGGGTCCCGGACCTAATGACAGGTCTTCTATTGAAGGCTGCACCTCAGGTGTCTCAGTAGCCTTCGGTTCAGCTTCAGTAGTAGCACCATCGTCTTCCTCCTCCTCTTCTTTTCCTTCCTCTTCTTTTCCTTCCTCTTCTCCTGCCTTCTCTTCCTTAGAATCCTCTCCATCGACCTTCTGTGTTTCTTCCTCTCCCTCGCCGGTTTCCTCAGCTTGCTCCTGCCGGAGCCTTTCTTCCTCTTCCTTCCTCTTGGCTTCCTCCGCAGCCTTTCTTTCAGCTTCTTCTTTTTCTTTCCTCTCCCTTTCAGCTCGCTCGGCTTCCTGTCTAGCTCGTTCCTCGGCGCGTCTGGCCTCCCATTTCTCGTGAAGTTCTGGAAAAAACAAATCATGCTCATCAATCAAATTTGAAAATAGACGCGCGCACAACAGAAATGCTAAAAACCCAGACTTTAACTTCATATCCAACATGACCAGAAACCGGGAGACCCAGAATGGATCTGTTCCATATAATATCAAAGGTGGTTTTGTTTTTCTCAGTATCGTGATAGGAAGCCAGGGTCATGGAAAAGAAAATTCCTTATATTCATGTCCGTTCACCATCCTATCATATTGAATCAGCTAGCACATCTGTTCACGAGTCCACGTGCCTGTCTGTTTGTCTGTCTGCGTGTGTGTCCGTGTGTCAGTCTTGCACTCTGGAATATGTTTCTTAAGATACCTTCTTTGTTGGTGTAATACCATCTTTTCAGCAAGTATTCTCCATTTTCACTATCATCTCTTAGGCATATCACCTCATCAGGAACAATGTTCCTTTCAATCATTGAAGTGAACTGTTCTCGTGTTCTTGGAAAGTTGTCCAAAATGTAACCACCAGCACTAGGATAAAAACAAACAAAACATTTTTCGAAATGGTTGCTACTTACGTCGATGAAAAAAGAACAATAGGTTCTAGAGTGCTTTGTCAGAAAAATAAATGGAAAAGTTTTCTCGATAACGCCATAGAAGCAAAATCAAAGAAAAGGGTTTTAAAATCCTTTGGCTGTGCTGTTACAGTTTTTCACCAAAGTCTGGCCGACAAATTCTACCCTTGAAGTTTCTCAGCCTTGAATGAGGCCCAGTGCTAACAACAGGTTGTAGAATACATTAGACCTTCCGTATCCGAAAAAGTTGTTCACATGTTCATGATGATTACTTCCCTTCAGGTTTATGAAAAGTAAGTCACTACCCTCGCTCAGACCATTATGCTACATCATAGTAACATGGATGGCTGCCAAGTGCAAGAAAAATGACAACATAGAATCCAAGTTTATCCAAAGCCAAAATCACTACTGTACAAACTTACTGAGGTCCATCAGGATTCAGTTCCTGAAGCTCAGCATATCTCTTTTGAATAGCCTCTTCAATCACATCAGTATACTCATCTGGTGGTAGTTCAGGTTCTCTTTTCTCAGCCTCGGCCATGACCTCATTGACAATCTTCACAACTTCAGGATGATTAGCATCAATAGGTACCTCTACCTTAATAGCCACCCTTGGTTTACCATCATCACCTGCTTCATCTCCTTCCTGTGTTTTCTCTCCTCCACTGGTTCCATCTTCATCCCCCTCTTTCCCTTCTACTGCTGCTTCTCCAGCATCTTCAGCTGGATCAGCTGTTTGAGGAAGAAAACATAGAAGTTAAATATGCCCTAAGACTGAGCTTTGTTAACACCTCAGATGGAGATGACTACCGGAATAACATAAAAAAAATTAATTTAAAAAGTTTACCATGGGTCATGAACTTCTGACTTGGAGTTAGATGTTCTACCAAATACCAAGATAATTGCCAAGATAAACAAAAGACTCTGTTTATTTGTATGAGCATCTGCACACAGCTATAGTCAGTGCACAGGACACTCTAACCTCTTCATTAAAAGACTAATCAAGGTTGCAACAGTACACTGATTGTAAAATATCTATCTAACTAATGAAAAAGGAATGGTTAGCTTTGTAAATGGAGTTGCGTTACAGAGGAAATTATTCTTTCTTTCAGTATATTGTGAATGTAATTGAAGCATAATATTGAATATTTAGTTGCAGACTTACATTCATCTCCCTCCTCAGCAGCTTCAAGTTGTTGTGATTGTTTTGCTGCAGTTATTTTGGATTTTGCAGATTCGATAGTTTCCTCCCTTAGTTCATCCAACATTTTCTTCCTAGCAGCCTCTTTCCGTGGCTTGATTAATTCATCAATGTCAAAAACCTGAAGAATGAAATTAAGGGCATCAAGAATAAGTGAAAACAACAGCATGACCAGTAAATAATATTTTTTGATCCATTTGTTTGCACCTTTTAATGCAAACATTCTTACTTATAGGCCCTCTATAGAGAGCTTCAAGTTTATAGTCAGCACAATTGATTTCCCATAATACAAAAAACAAGCAGCAAAATTAGGATGTTATGAAAATGAAAGTTAAATTCACTTGGGCTGGGTAACATTTCTGAGAAAAATTTGTTCCAAATAAATGCATGTTGTAAACCCTATTCATTCCAACTGAGTGATGATTTGAAAGAGAAATAATGTCTTTCCATTTGGTTCCAGATTAGTTTTTTCGAAAAACACTCCCCCCCTCCACCACATGCCTAATGAGCCCCCTGTATGGAATCCTTGGAGACTAACAACTCCCCTTAGGGACTACAGTAGAGAAGGCAGCTTTTCTTCATTAGCCATGGGAAAATCATTTACAAAAAGGAGACCTGGATCACTGCTGTTCCATTTTTACCTTGGCATTGTATCTCTGAGCCAATGATTGAGCCAGTACAGTTTTTCCTGAGTGGGGTGGACCCAGGACACACACTTTACAGGGAGGACAAGGCAAGTGGGGGGCAAGGAAGGGACGTGGATTCCTCATGAAGTGGGCCAGTGATTCATTTGATGCCATCACATATAGCTTGTCCAAGAAACTGAAAAGTTAAACAGAACAAATCAATTTTAAAAACTGACTTGGTGCTACACATACAGCACTTTATCCCTCAGAGCAAATTTGGATCATAGATGCATCAAGGACTAACAAGTGGATGGTCTTCTGATCTATACTTTTCAGGTGGGGAAATGTTATGTTCATCAAGTTTTAAGACAAATACAAAACTGTAGCAGTCAATTAAGATAACCGTTCTCCATTTCCAATTTCAAGGACCTTTCCACAAGTTTCTGACAACCTACAACAACTTTGTAATTTTGTGTCTCTTTACCTGACTGAAAACTGTGCCACGCCTTGAGCAATGTTACCCTCCTTCAATGCCACAGGGCAAGCACGTCCCCACTTGCTGCGTCGCCAACGGAACTTGGGTGCTACCATCTCAGTTGCTGCCAATGTGCGCAGAAGGTCATCAGTCTCTGTATCATCTGATATTTCCTCTCCTTCTTCTGCTCCTTGAAGTCGTAGGGGCACCAGTGCATGGTTTAATTTGAAGGTGTTCAGTTTCATCATAAGAGACTGAAATAAAATGTGAGGTGGAACTTAATTACCTCAAAAGTTGGAAGCTAAAATACAAAACAACCTTAGAAGATTCAAGTAATTATTGATGATAGGTATTTATATGCAGCCGTCTTAAAACAAAAAAAGAGCAATTGTTAAATTATTTCAAAGTACTGTAAGTACAGTTTACAGTTTATATACTACTGTTAAATTCCTATGCTTTTCTAATTATACCACTAAAGAAAATTGAAACATGATCATCTTCTTTTAGTGAGACATAATACTCACTTTGAAGACAACCTTTGGACTCTCATTACCATCCAACTCAATAAGCTTCTGTTGATCATGATCAGCCATGTAATCCTAAGGGGAAAAAAACACATTTGAACCCCATTCATTTCAGTTTAATTACTGACAAGTCATTTTTACATAGCTGACCCTAACGCAAAAAATAAGTTCATCAAAATTGACCACATTCTCAAAAAGATAAGTCCAAAGGGAAACTGTAAAAATAATATAATTGATGTTTATGTCAATCTGGTTATATCAATCTAGTTGTGGTACAATATGTACAGTGAACATGTTACATACCTCAAGTGTTCTCAGCATCATGTCACGATACTTTTTGATACTGGTAGCAACATTCTGAGGTAAGTCCTCTGGCCTTGTGACAAGTCTTGCAACAAGTTCTGGTGTGATCTCTTCTCTTTCTTCTTCCTCCTTCACAATAAAAACAATTAGTTGTAGATGTGATTGCCATGCCATCTTTCATGCAGTTGTGTTTTTATCTAATGTGAGGTCACTGCATTGCATCATGCAGACTGTAAACTCAAGTTCAGCGAAGATTAAAACAATGGCACTAGGTAGACACGAAAGTCGTGATAAATTTTTCAACTCAAGATTACAGATACTATTAATAATAGATTGTAACACCAACAATACCACTATCTAAGTTCTAAAGTTTAAAATAAAATCCAACCTCTTCCTCTTCTTCAGTCATTTCTTCTTCTGCTTCTTCTTCCTCCTCATCTTCTTCTTCTTCTTCATCTTTTTCTTTATCATCTTTAGCTTGAAGCTCAGGGGCGTATTCACTCTTTGTGTAAAGTATATCAGTCAAAGGATCCACACGCTGCTCACAACGTCGCTTTTCTAAATCTTTATCTGGAATCTGATGAGAACAAGAAAATCAGTTGGCAATTGTATCAACTAAAACTAAACGTAGATATGTGCCACTGTTTTATTTTCTATACAGAAAATAACTACTTTAACATCATATATCCATATTTATATCACATGATAAAAAAGACCTTGACAATTTCTAATATCATTTAAATCTCCTCCTAAGTTCATCTATGTTCTTTACCTTCATATTAATGATAAAGTCTGGTGTTAGTGGTAGATTTTTTACAAGGTCAAGCTGATCAGCCATTGATAACCAGTCCTCACACAATGAAGGAAATCCATCCAGTACATACCCTAAAAAAGAGAACAGGAAATATTTTTGAAAAATTTTTATCAATGCTATACACAAGTAATGAAAAAAATTCAAACAAAGTAGTAGACAAGTATTTTTTTGTAGCAATATAATTCAGTGTCTCTCAACAAACTAAACAGGTCCTGGTTATCAACATTTTAATAAGCATTTCTGATAATAAATGTTTGTACTCACCATGATGGGCAACTTCTGGGGAACTGATCTTGTCCAATAAAACCTTGGCACAAACTTCTTCAGGAATTGCTTCACCTCTCAGCAAAATATCTTGTGCATTGGCACCTAGTTCTGTTTGCAGTTCAATTCCTTGATTGATTATTTCTGAGCCTTGGATAGAAGAAATAAGCAAGCAATAACAAGCAGTCATAAATCAATTGAAAGAAATTACTAAAGCATAAGACTACAAAAATACCTGTTTTGAAATAACACTCTTAACAAAAGATGTTTTCAATTGTCTGCCCAGTGTAGGTGCAGATTTAATTCCACACTGATATAAATTTGAGAGAATTTTAAAGGTACAAAGAATGTTAACTAATCATATGGCTTCATTTACAAGTAGTAGATGTTGAAATAATGTTCACTTTATAGCATGCCCTTCCTACTCACCATTAATAAGCTCACATTTCCATGCTCTGGCAAGCTTCCTTGCAAGGGAGGTTTTACCTGAACCCTGTTTATGCAGAAAAAGTATCATGTCACACTTTTTTTATTTGAGAACAGAAAAAAACCATTATTTCAAATAGAAAATAAGCTGGAATTTTTTTTTACCAGCATTCAACACAGGAATGAAACTACATATAACAATGAATAATCAACAGATACTGTCAAAACTTTGGAATAGTTAAGCAAAGTTTGTCCTTGTTTACCTCCTCAGAATGTAAACAATAATGAAGAAATAATTATTTTGATGAAAATGTCTGCTGGAAAGAATAATTACAACTCACTTTATTCAAGATTTTAGTGGGCAGTGTACTAATTAATGGAATTATAGATAACTATTTTACTTTTAGAAATGAGGTATAAAACATAACTTTCATGTGCTACTCAGTGAGAGGCTGGGAAGCACATAGTACAATTAGGGGAATTAACTGTACTTAAGATCATACTGTACGGTAGCACAACTATCAGCTCAACAGGATTTACAAACACTTGCAATGCGTCTTGCCTTGCTGTTCAAGTGTAATAACTATTTGGTGCAATGAAACTGATCTAAGACCATCAAAAGTCCGACAACGACTCTGATCGATTTGATAAAGCTGAGAATTAACTTGAGTTGCATTGGCTAACGATAAATGTAACTTCAGTCGTTAGGGTCCTGCTTGTAGATCATGATCATGATCATGATCTTCAGTTGTACAGTTCATTGACAGATCTGTATCTTGAACAGTCACGGGTACTAACCGGCTTTCCAACTATAATAAAACATGTTGGTTTGGAGTTCAGAAACCGTCTCTCGGCCTGGAAAAATAAGTGTATACAGTGTAGTTACTAATCGCCAAAATGCGATATGTGTACGTCCAAAATTTTAGAATTAGCTAATACGAACATTTAAGCTTACAGCTAAAACAGGCTGAAAAACGAAGATCTGGTTAAACTATACTTTGATACCTAAACAAGCTCAAAGTATGACTATTGAAGACGATTTCATTAATGTACAGGGCCTTTACGTTTTGTGCGATGTGGCCTCTGTCCAACCGATAGATGTCGTATAACGGAAGTTTCAGCCTCGGATGATGAGAGCTAAATTATAACATTTATAAATGTAGGAAAGAACAGCAACTCAAGCCTCAAATAAGCTAAGCGCGCCAGATTCCATCATGTCTCTGGCAAGATAACGCTAGATCTTTCGCTTACCTCGTCTTCATTGAACGGATCTGCGTCATTTATGTTGGTGTTAGGTACGATTTCGACATCAGTCATCTTCCTGTAGGTTTAGATCTGGATCCTGGAATAAATTCAGTTGACTTTCCGTGAGTTGCTGTGCATTTCGTTGCCGACTGGCTTTTCAACTCTTGAGGCTGTCTCGTCTTGTATGCTGCTATGACAACTACGATGTTTACAGTCAAAACTGTAGAGGACTGGAACGAAAATATAGCATTGGACTGGATCTCTGACTCAGGACTCCGGATGCTGCCTGAAGCGGCACTCTCAAATGAAGAGGGGATTGATTTTGAGACATGCATTGAGTGAAATTCTTTGCATGTACTTTTGGCATGAGCTTACTAAAAGAAAGTATTGAACATCATTTTGCAATTTTAACCGTTACGGGAATTTGAAATCTTCATTTTCAGTGTATTGAACATCCAGTCGAGGAGTCTCTTTTGAAATAAAAATTTGAGTTCGACTGTAATTGTTTGCCCAATACTTGCCTACGTTCGTTCATCAAAGTAACACGTTAACTTTGCGGAATCCCCCACCGTGCCTTACCCCACCGCAATCTTTATCAGCACGGTTGCTTCATTTGTGACGTCACAAACGATAGCGCGTGTAAACGTCGGCTACTCAAAAGTCCTGCAAAATGTATATGTAGAGGCTTAAGCGGCTGCTTTGACTACTACTTCATTTGATCACTCGAAATATACTGGTCAAAACTGACGATCAACTTGTCTCAAACTACTGAAATGTCGTTCATTACGATTCACTTTGGAGGTAAGTGTCACCTTTTATTTCGATTTTTCAAGTAAAATAGTTCCTTGTTGTTTTCAATAGTTAAGCTCAATCTTGATCGTTTCCCTCGACTTTGCAGACAACCAGAAATTATTTTTCAACCTCCTCTGTCCAACTGTCATTTTATATAAAAACATCAAACTGAGATGCGGGTGCGAAAAACAAGGTACCAAACATTTCAGTCTGTTGAAATTGTTATTCCTCCATCGAGGATAATGAAGTTGTTTTTTAAGTTCCAATGAAAAAGCAGGCAATCGTACTGAATACCTCACTGCGATGTTTGCCTGTATTTTTTTATTCGTTTTACATTATCTTGCAGCTGTTATAGACATCGCGGATGAAAATGGTTCTCTGAAAACCATTTATGAAAGACCACCGGATCAATATGCGTCCCAATATCTTCAAGGGAGGGCAAACTTTGTGTTACTAAAAGTTTTAAGTAAGTTTTCTTTCTTTGTTTTTCTTTATTTAAATCATTAGTGTACATTGATAAAAATATGTTTTCAAATCAATCTGTTTTGACATGAGAGTAACATATTGAACCAAAATATTCCAAAACAGAATTTACAATTATTGCAAATAGAGATGTTGCTCTAAGATTGTTAATCAGGATATGGCCTACACAAGGGGGTAAATGCCTAGCTTTCAACTTCGGTTATTTATAGTTTAGAGTAAATTTTGTGGTCATGAAAGTTGAGAACAATATCTAACTCAATTCTAAATACAAGGGTAACCAAGCAAATGTGTCTTTTGTTACCTGTTGACTAGAAAAAAAAATACATATAAAAGAGAAATGAAAAAAGCTATTCAAGAATAACCATTGAAAGGACTACTTCTTCCTGTAGAAAAGATTGATGCCATCAGTGGAAAGGAAGTTTCTTCATTTGAGCCACTTTTGAATAATGTGACAGAAGTGTATCCTGATTTGATGGGTAAGCTTGATACAAAAATCCATTAATACAGGGGCAGTTATAACTGATTTTAATCAGTTATAGTTTTAAACAACTATTCAACAAATAGATTCCAAGTTGCAGTGTGTCTGTTCAGTAATAGATCACAGATGATGTCAAAATGTGGTAAGAACAAAAAAGTGGCACATGAGGCACAGCTGAGTGTGTCACTGAAGTTCTTACCACATTTTGACGTCCTCTGTGATCTATTACTGAACAGACCCACAACTTGGAATCTATTTGTTTTAGATAATAAGGAATTAAAAAAAGTTTTAATGATGACGTCATTTATAAGTCTGTCCTCCAATAGATCATAAGTGAGAACCAATCAAAATGCATGCATAACTGAGCGTATTATATAAAACTCAATCCCACACATGTATTGGGCCAACATTGGGTAAATACATGGTGAAGATCAATTTTATGCTCTAAAAAAAAATTCTTCCCACAACAGCCTGAAAAAAAAGTGCCCTTTTTAACATAGTACAAATATTCCACAGCTAAAGTGCACAATTACAGAATCAACCCAGATGTAGGTCTTCCAATTCAAAGCTTTAATCAGATTCCTCTCATGAAAAGTTCCCAACAAGCAAGATCCAAGTCTACTGCCAGAGGATTAGGAGGACCAAGCATATCGCCAAGATCTCCAGCAAGCCGTGCAGGATCAGTTGGTGGTGTTGGGTTACCAAGTGTTACCAAAATTAAGAGCTCTGTTAGGGTATCAAAGTAGGCTTACTAAATCAGCTTTAAACTGGGTTTTATTAAGATGAGAACAAAACCTATTCCAAAGTTACAAAACTCTATTTCAGAGGATCTAAGAGTAAAAATGCACAACTTAGGGCATTGACAGCTTTTTCACCCATGAGGAAATTTGTTTCTTCAGAATAGCAGTTTTATACACCCTTTCTTCTTCATTACATTTCAAAAAAAGGGGGAAAATATATCAAGTTCACAGAAAGAATAAAATAAAATATCAAAATTATCATAGACACCAATATTGCATAAAAACACATGAAATGTCTTTGCAGACCCCCTATCTTAACATATCTACAAACAAGCAAAAATCACAGAAATGTTTGTGTTATTATCAATAGGGTCTATCTCTTCTTGCCATCCTTGGAGTCTGAATAGCAACATCAATGAAATCTCCTATTTGAAACTTTTTAGACTCTAGTGTGACAGTGTCATCAGCCCCTTTACGCCCTGCTGCAGTTGAACCAATTTCTTTCATGATGAATCCACCACGACGAGCATCTGGAAATACAATGGCAAAGTCAAATATTGTGCCTTTGCGCCTTGCATCAGGATTGACTTCCTTGACAAGACTCATGAGCTCTTTCAAAGTTGCATCTTTCCTAAAATGAAGTAGAAATAAGCAATGTTATCACAAAACAGAAACACTCTGATTCCATCCACTGGTACCTAGAGAGATTTCTACAAAATAAATCAAGATTAATGCATTTGAGGTTTCCCAACCACAGCATAAACAGGAGGCTGTATAATGAACTGGTATGCATTCCATTTGTTTTGCAACAAACCCTTCATCATTATCTTTGCATCACTTCACAGCCACCTAACCCTTAGCATGTTTTTTTAGCACACATGACCACCACCTAATAATCCTACAATTATAGGTATTTTAAACATGTTTGCGTATTGATCACATGTAGAAGGATGGAGTCTGTGCTCAAGCCAAGTGATCCACCCAGCTAGAGCTTATTACAGTTTTCCTTGCAGTATCACCAATCCCCCCTGAATAGGATACACGTCCATCACCAAGTTACCCACCAGCATTTCATCAGCTTATCATGACAGTTTGCCAGTACCCATTCAACTCCTGGGTAGAGAACAGCACTGTGACAGAGGAGTGTTTTGCCGAAGAACATAAAACCATGATCCACCCTGGTCTTGAACCCAAACCTTGACACAGACTCAAATGCAATAACCTTTAGGTTACCATGTCTCTCACAATTCTTCTGGTAACAAAGCACAAAATTAACCTACCATGTGTACACTTGGAGTTCGTTTGATGGTAAAGCTGTCCTGGAATATTCATCTAACCTGATGTTATCATAAATAATAATAATGATGATGATTTATTGCAGAGTATCCAACAAAGTAAGGTTCTTCAACTACAATTAATACACTATAAATCAACTCTAAAAAAAGAATATACATAAAAAAGAGAAAAACAATTGTATTTTCTGCTTCAAGTTCCTTACATAAAAGATGTCTCTTCACACTACAACAGAAGGAATTGTACTCAGTTATGTTTCTAATAGCTACAGGGAACTTATGAAAAGTAGTTGCTGCCAAGTGCTGAAATGTTCCTGATTCTCTTGGAATAGAAAGGACAGCCGCAATTGAAGATCTTAAGCTATAAGCACTAACCTTGTGTAGATTTAACAAAAGAAAAATAAATGCACCTTAACATGAAAACAGTGAAAAGCCACAAGAGATCAAGCTACATGTAGTTTTGATCAAGCCAAAGAAAGCATTTTGCCTTGAAAAAAAGGGAACAACTGTCTCCTCACTAACATACAATAACAACTGTCTATAAACAAAGGTATGACTTCCCTCTTGCAAATCAAGCAAAAAGCACAACAAGACACACGATGTTTTATCCATTTACTTGTGAGGGATGACAAAAAATGAATCTTACTTAAATATTTTTATTGACCGCCAGAGCTTTATTAACCACATTCACTCACCAATTAGCTGAAAACACAGCTTGAGAGTCGAAAAAATTCGAGGAAAGGATCAAGAATAATAAACCAGTGTGTAAAGTAAAGTAGTAAAGAAGCAAATTGAGAGAAAAAAGAATAATTCCAAACTATTCAGCAAAATGCGATTTACCACGAAGTGTATCTACCTTAAATTACATTAAACTTATCTGGTAAGTGAACACAGGACTATTTAAACTTCATTCCAACTCAGTTCGTTTGCTAATTTGCGGGACAAAAAAATAACCCACACAAAAGGACTACCAGATTGCATTCGTTCAAAGAGGTTTGACATTAAACTCTGATTACGAGATACGAAAAGCGGCTTTATTTCAATCTTACCTGTGATGTCGGCCTTGGTTACAAAACACTCTGAGAAGCAGCGGGCAGGTCTGCCAATAAACAAAGACACGCGGTTGATAAAAGTGCAACAATTTTGAATCGTCTTCGTTATTTCTGGAACAAAATACAACGATCTAATCTGTACCTTTTCCCTATCAATCGTAGGCTTCTGGTCATTTTTTTCTCGCTCTTTTTCCTGTTCTTTGTCTTTTTCTCGTTCTCGATCTCGAGAACGGTTCCTTGCTCGTATTGGAGACGATGCACGACCCCGCGTGTCAGCCATCTTGGATTTATCAGCGTACCTTGGTAGCCTAGCCTAAATAGTAGGGATTAAGGCTGATGGGAAGTATCACAAGACTCAGCACCACCTTTTGCGTGATGTCGTACTACCAAAAATTTCAAGATGCACCATGAGCCGTACTTTTCCTCAAATTTCTGCATTGCCGCCAAATCAGCTGAGACGGTAGGAAAGGCGCAAAAAGGTGGCTGCGTTAGATCTGACGTTTAAAACTGCTATCTTTCTAAAATAACGCCCCCTTAGTGGTACTATTTTAAGAACAGGCCTAAACTATGAGTCCACTTCCAATTCTCAATCAGAGAGTACACAGCGAACGTGATAAAAGCTACCCATGATATGGATTTCACTGTTTACGACCGCGAAAAGTGCATATTAAATATACAACATTTTATTTGGCCTACATTCAAGACCTATATTTACCCAGTCCTTCCTGTGTGTCACAATGGTCGCGAATTATGTTTCATCAGCATAACAGGTTAAGGGATGGGTGATATATTCGGGTCCAGGGAGGGGTGCCTTGTTGTTTTATTGTCACTGATATCACTTTCTCTTAACAAAGAGGGGTTCAATTGAACCTCAGGCCCTTTGGCTGCAAACTTGTTTGAAGTGTTTAAAATAGAGTATTCACATCACAAAGGAATCCAAAGATGCTATGAAAAAGTTGTTTATTTCATATCTAAACTGTTCCTCAAAGTTCCTCTTTGGAGTTTTGTTTTCCAGACCTTTTCACTGGCTGAATGTCATAATCTCCATCTCCTGCACCGTCTTCATAATCCTCTTCATACAACTCATTGTTTTCTTGAAGTTTCTCCTGAGCGTGCTCCATCAGGTCACCAAGCCTGAAGTATTCATTTGTCAGGGCGCGTATGGTTTCCTAAATTGAATCAGATTCAGTGTTAACATAACAGACAAGAAGCAACTAGTCTCTGTACCGAAATTAACTCTGTAACGACAAGAATTTGAAGATAGTATTCTGACTAGCTGTTGGTATTTTGAAACATAGTTTTTTGAAAGGCTCTCCCCAGCCCTAACCCAGTTCAAATTAATCAATTGATAATTCAACCAATGCTTCTGAAACTCTTACATTTTCTGTAAAAAATTTCCAATAATACCAATGCAACAAGAAAATAGAATTTATGTCGTCTTGAAAGCAAAATAATACAATTGTTGCTCTCTTTTAATATAGCAGAGTTCCTCTGATCGCACTTCTTTTCCTATAATGGCAAAATATTTAGGTTAACTGCCCTTCTCTTTCCAGTTGCACTTACATCATCAGCTTTTACTAGTTCTTCAAGATCAGCCGAAGAGAAAGACTTGTCCTCGTCTGTGTCCATCAATTTGAAGAGCTGGGTGGTAAAACAAATAGAATTGTCGAGAATCAGGGTATGAATGTAACATTTAACTTACCAAAACCGGCTTCTACAACATTTTTAGACGAACCACGAATAAAAAACTTCCCTCATTTAAGGAAGTGAGCGTGTACAGTAAGTGCAATGATTTACGAGGAAGATGTTTGTTTCAGTATGGTGACGTTTTTTAATGGTACCTTTTTGGTTGTTGATTTCATGTCCTCGGTCCACGTCAAGATGTTATTATTACCAAAATAAGGATCCTAAAAGAAAGAACATTTGGTAATCACGTGATCATTACGATCAGTGCATCGCATCATTGGGCAACGTCAATTGGACTTAAGACAAAAATGTAACGAAACAAAGCGCTATAGGAAATGATTAACGTCAGTTGCGATTTTAACAAACAAGAGCAGAGAGACTGAGAAACTTTATGAGAGAAAGATAAACGAAAACGAAAAACTTTACCGGCAAGCAAAAACCAAAGAAGTTTAAAAGACCTGCATAAAACATAGAGCTAACTAGAGCTTCTCCATTTGTCTGAAACAGGAGCTTATTACCTAGTAATGGGCTCCTTTCTGAAGTTAGTTTTTCTAAAATGGTTCAATTTTATCCTTATTTCAAAATTTTTCTGATACTGTTTTTTTTTCTATTGCAATGTGTGAAAAAATAAAAAATTAAGGTTCCACTTTAATCCTTTCTAGTGCCCCTTTGTTGCTATGCTGTATTCTACATATTTTCGATACGGGTACATATCTATTTCAGTATTACCATCAAAGAAAACAATGGACTCACTATTTTCTCTTTTTTGTGGTACTATTAAAGTCGGTCAGCTGTTTCGAACGAAAATCCAGATTAACAGTTTTACATAAAAAAAAAATGAATACATATTGATCACATTGAAGCATTGGTATTTTTTAGTGCATCGTATATGTACCTTTCTTAGTTTTTTGACAAATGTCTTGAATGAAATGTGGTCATTCTTGCTGAGAAAGTGTTTCAAATGATTCCTGTAAGGCAAACAAAGATGCAGTTTACTCAGCACGATGAGTCCTTGGTTCTTAGGCGTCAGTAAAACGTTTCTTATTGCATCCACTAAGAGCAGAATTTAACGCCAAAAGCTTGCACGTTTTTATCATGTAACAGCATCTCTCAAAGGGTTAATTTACTCCTTTTTCGCACTTAGGGTAACCTGAGTAGAAAAAAGATATTCTTCGTGTTTCTTCAACTTATTAAACGATCTTCAAGCAAACGAACGCATCCTCAAAAGTAATAAAAACGGCTACTCCCATGCAAAGAAAAATTGAATCCGAAATCCTGCCTTACAAACCAAGTAAAAGTGCATCAATCCAGCTTACTTACATCAAAGTTTCCTCTGGTTGTTCGATGAGTTTCTCTAGAGTGGTGAACGTAAATTTTTCCAGGGTTTGATTTTGTTCCATTCCTTCACAATCCTTTGGAACGAAGTTTGCTTTATGCTGCCACCATAGATTAACTGCTATGTTGCGATCATATGAACGAACTTGGTGAAACCTAAAACAACCAAGAACAACACACGCCATCTACTGTTTTGGAACTGAATTTAATCACCATATGAGTTGTAAAATCTAAAGATCACAGATAATTAAGATTAAATTCAAGTCTTCTCTGTATTTATATCTACAGATAACAATTCAATAAGAGTTTAAAAAAAACTGGCAAATTCAGGTCAAAGGCAACAGGTTAGGAAGTGTACCCACTTTTAAGTACTCAGTTATTTAGGGAAAAAGCCTATACATTTAAGGGATAAATACATCATTTCTGGGGAACAACATTGCCCCCTAGCCTATAAATTTTAGATCTGTTTCTTTCATTGAAGGAACACTTCTGGTAAGGTAGCAGTTTTTCTGGTACCACGAATGTACATACTCCGAATAGAGAGTTGATGACCGCACGGGAGACACCGTCACTGGTACTAATGAATTGTAATTTTTATCATTACTATTATTATTATTATCATCATCATTATTATTATTATTATCATTATTTTTCGCGTTTGAGGATCTATACACGATAATTGTCACTTAACTCAGTCATCTAGAGACTCGTTTAACGAGTGAAAGCCATGTTCACAGTCAGAATATACCACATAGGGATCACTGTCTCCAGGGGGGTGGGAATCAGAAGATTTTGTGGGGATTACTTGGTTTTCAAGAAGA